GGGTGAGTACTGAGAAAATTTATTTACGAAAAAAAAAAAAGAATCGATTTACTATCACTTAAATAATGGTGTAGTTAGCCGAAAAATTCAGCCGAAGGCGCAGTAAATTTTCGGCTAACAACAGCCAATGTTGATCTTGAATATTGGTTCAACATCTAACTATTTTCGGCTGAATATTATCGGCTAAATACACTTTTTTTAAATAATAGTGTAGTTAGCCAAAATATCCAAATAGCAGACAATATGTAATAATGACAAAATTTTATTTATTATAGAAAACAAAAAGTACATAACATTACTATACTTATTTTTGGACAGTGCTTATTAAATAAAACTACAAAATATTTGTTATTTTTAACTCATTTATTTCTGTCCAATCATACTTCAATATTAGATTTTTAATAATTTAATTGTAAAAAAGAAAATTTTTTTTCTTTAAATTAATGAATAGTTTATTTAACCATTAAAACTATAAGAATAATTAAAATTTTACAATACAATTATACAAATAAAATAAAAAAGGGAAATTTTTTTAAGGGATTTGAATTGTATTTGAATATATATATACAGTATTTTTTTTTTTTTTTTTTTTTTTTTTTTTTAATATATATAAATTTAAAAATTAAAGACAATATGACAGAACTTAATTTTGATTGTCTTACACTTATTTTTGATGAATTACGAACAGATAAAAAATCCTTACATTCATGTCTTTTCGTTAATAAGAAATGGTGTAACATTGTAGTTCCAATTTTATGGAAATATTCATTATATAATTTAAGCGAACAAAAAGAAGAAAAAATTTTTAATATAATACTTTCCTGTTTACCTTTATCTTCTAAACAACTTTTATTGGTTAATGATATTAAATTATCATCAAAAATTCTTTTAAATACTCCAACATTTAATTATATTAGTTTTTGTAAATTTCCGGAAAATGAAGTTATAAGAAAAATTATAGAAATGGTTTTAGGAGATCTTACAAGATATTATAAAAGAAATATTTTAGAACAAGAAATTTACAAATTATTTGTTAGTCAATGTAAAAATATTGGAGAATTACGATGGCAAACTTTACAACCTTTATCATTATTTCCTGGGGCATCAACATGTTTCTCTCAACTTTATAATTTATTTATTGATGTTTTTTCATTAAATTCTGATACACTTTATGAAATGGCAAAATTTTGTAAAAATTTAAATTCATTATCTATTCATAATTTTTCTAAAGATCTTCCTGGATTGGTCTCTTTAATTGATGCACAGGTAAATTTAAGGAGAGTAAATCTTTGTACTATTTTTAAAGGAGGAAATTGTGAGGATTTAAGCAAGGCGTTAACGAGAAAATGTAATACGATAAGTTATCTTTCTTTTAATTCAATTGGTACTATTCCACCTTCATTTTTATCATCACTCGTTAATTTAAAGTGGTTATCAATTTTTAATAATGAAGATTATGAAGATATTGAAGATGATATTAAAGAATTACAAAAATATCTTGCTATATCAGAATTTCCAAATCTTCAATATCTTAATATTAATGGATTATCATGTTTTAAAGAATTATCAATGTTAGTTGAAAAAACCAAAGGAAATCTTTCACATATTGATATTTTTAATATTGATAGGGATATTGCTAAAAATACAGGAATGTTAATTAAAGTAATTGCAGAAAATTGTCCAAATATTAAATTATTATTTACTTACCTTGAACCTCAAGATTTTATTCATATAAAATCTTTATTAATAAATTGTAGATATTTAAAAACAATAAGATTTGATAGTTTAGATTTTTTTATGGATGAAAATGATAATAATATAGGGGATGAATTATTAGATATTTTAATCTCATTTTCTCCAAAATGTTTAAATGATATAACTGTTAGTAAAAGTTGGAAATTTTCTATTAATACTTTTGAACGTTTTTTTGAAAGTTTTAGAGATCGACCTTTACATTATTTTTATATGATTTGTCATGGAAGAAGTTATATTACTGAAGAACATAAAATTATGGTTAAACAATATATTGAAGAAGGAGTTATAAAATATTCAAGTTTTAGTTAAATCATAAGACGTAAGTAATATAATTTTCACACACATATATATATATATATATATTATATCTCAAATATTTCAAGGAATTTGTCCTGTAATCAAGTTATTTATTTTTTACATAATAAGTTTTCCTTTCATTTCTTAATAAAATATTAAATAATCAACGAAATTGTTAAGATGATGTAAAAATATACATATTGTGTAAAGATCTACCCAATTAGATCGATTATATAAATTGCGCTTAACCATATTTTATTAACTGTGTTTCGATTATACTGATTGTTGCATCATAGTTATGTGATACTATCAGTCATTTTATCTGATAACGTGACGAAATAAATAATTATGATATTATTATATATAAAAGTAATTGTAATTTATTTCCTCTTTTATATCTTAAAAATGAAAGAAATCAATTTAGATTGTCTTATCCTTATTTTCGATATACTACAAGATGATAAAGAATCTTTATATTCTTGTTTATTAGTTAATAAAAAATGGTGTAATATTGCGGTACCAATATTATGGAAGAAACATACATGGTGTTCCGATATGAATTTTCGATCAGAAAAAAAACTTTTTAACGTATTACTCTCTTTTTTGCCAATCTCTTCAAAAAAACTTTTATCAGATAATAAGATTGAATTATTACCTTCAACAATTTTAAAATCTCCATGTTTTAATTATATCAATTTTTGTGAATTTCCGGCAAGCCATAATGTATCACAAATGGCTAATACTGTGTTACGTGGACTTTACAATTATCATAAAAGAAGTCTTTTAGAGCAAGAAATTTATAAGTTATTTGTTCACCAATGTAACAATGTCAAACATTTATTTTGGAATACAAGTCAACCTATACCATTTTTTCCTGGAGCATCGACATGTTTCTCCAAACTCTACGAATTACGTATTGATACTGATTTCGTAAAATCTGATGCTCTTTATGAGATGGCACATATTTGTAAAAGTTTAACCACATTATATATTTACGGTATTTCAGATTGTTCCCAAATTCTTTCTGGATTAATTTACTTAATTGATGCTCAAAGGAATTTAGAGAAAATATGTTTTAATATTGAGGGTGATGAAAAAACTAGAGAAGAATTAAGCAATGCATTAGTAAGAAATAACAATATGATAAGTAATCTTTGTTTAAGCTCAGTTAAAAATATTATACCTTCATCTCTAATATCACTTGTTAACTTAAAGAAGCTAACAATTTATAATTGGGAAAATTATGAAGTAGAGATTAAAGAATTTCAAGAATATCTTGCAATATCTGAATTTCAAAATCTTCGATACCTAAATATTAGTAATTTATCTTGTTTCAAAGAAATATCATTATTAATTGAAAAAACTAAAGGAGGTGTTCTAGAAATTTCTGTTGAAACTGCCAATAAAGCTGCCAAAAATACTGGAATGTTAATTAAAGCAATTGCTGAAAATTGTCCAAATATTGATTATTTAAGTACATATATTGAACCTAATGATTTTATTCATGTAAAATCATTATTATTAAATTGTAGAAACTTAAAAACAATAAAGTTAGATGGCTTGAAATTTTTCGTGGATATAAATGATAGTAATATAGGGGATGAATTATTAGATGTTTTAGTAAAATTCTCTCCAAAATCTTTAGATGATATTGCAATTAGTGAATGTTGGAAATACTCAATTGAAGCCTGTGAACGATTTTTCGAGAGTTATAGAAAACAACCTTTAAGTTCATTTGGTATCATAAGATATGATGAACGCATTGATCGTAATTATGTTACTAAAGAACATAAAGATATTATTAATAAATACTTTAATGAGGGAGTGTTGAAATATGCAGATTATAGATTTTATTTCTGAAATTAGTATGGTTGGTATCAATAAATAATAATTACTTGGTAACATCAAAGAGTTATTGGTTGTAAATATGTTAAAATATATGATTATCATACTGATATTAATTAATTAGCATCTAATGTTTTTTTATTAAATCTAATTTTGCATAGATAAAGAACTTATTAACTATACGCTTTCATTTGTATTGTACTCATTATTATTAGATATTATGTATTTAAAGAATAATTGTCAAAAAGACACATCATTATGAATCTTACTTTTTAACAAGTAGATGTTAATTAATCATATTGACTAATATAGAATACTACATTTAATTATGAAAACTTTCAATTTATATGGGAATCTCTTTTAAAACATAAAAAACTCTAAATAATGGAAGAAATCAATCTTGATTGTCTTGTTCTTATCTTCAATGTATTAATAAAAGATGAGAAGTCTTTACATTCTTGTCTTTTAGTTAATAAAAAATGGTGTAACATTGTGGTTCCGATCTTATGGAAGAGATGTTTCTTAGGTGAAATAAATGAAAAACTTTGCAATGTTATACTTTCTTTCTTACCATCCTCTTCAAAAAAACTTTTATCAAATAATGATATTAAATTACCTTCTTTAACACTTTCAAAATTTCCATTATTTAATTATATAAGTTTTTGCAGATATATATCCCCTGATGATGTGGACAAAATCATTAATATAGTGTTAAAGAACCTTTGTAATGATCATAGAAGAAATCTTATGGAGCAAGAAATTTACAAGTTATTTATTAGTCAATGTAAAAATGTTAAATATTTATGTTGGACAACTCGTCAGCCTTTAACTTTATTTCCAGGAGCATCAATTTTCTTCTCTCAACTCTATGAGTTATATATTAATATTGATTCTGTGAATTCTGATGCTCTTTATGAGCTAGCACAAATTTGTAAAGATTTAAATACTTTATCTATCAGCGGTTATTGTAATATTCCTAATTTATTTTACTTGATTGATGCTCAGAGGAATTTAAAAAAACTAAGTCTTCATGCTGAGGTTGATGAAAAGACTGGTAATTGTGGTAAAGAACTAAGCAAAGCATTAAGAAATAGAACTACTATAAATAGTCTTTATCTAAACTCAATTGATAATATTGTACTTTCTTCTTTAACAACACTTGTCAATCTAAAAAAGTTAACAATTCTTCATTGGAAAAATTATAAAGAAATTCAACAATATCTTGCAATTTATGAATTTCCAAACCTTCAACAACTTATATTAAGGCAAGGTCATTTATCTAGCTTTAAAGAGATTTCTTTATTAATTGAAAAAACTATGGGAAACATTTCAGAAATTGACATTGTTACTATCAATAAAACTGCTAAAGAAGCAGAAATTTTAATTAAAGCAATTGTTGATAATTGCCCAAAGATTAGTGATTTATATACATATATTGAACCTAAAGATTTTATTCATGTTAAAACATTATTATTAAATTGTAGATTTTTAAGAATAATAGAATTAAGAAGTTTAGAATTTTTTATAAATGAAAATGATAATAATATAGGAGATGAATTATTGGATATTTTTATCTTATTTTCTCCAAAATCTTTAGATAATATATCTATTAGTGGATTTTGGAAGTATTCAATTGATGCTTTTAACCGATTTTTTGAAGGTTTTAGAAAGCGGCCTTTGCAGCATTTCAATATTATTTTTGATAAACTAAGTTATAGTAATATTACAAGTAATCATAAAATTATAATTAGAAAATATATTAATGAAGGAGTGGTGAAATATTCTTCCTGTTAATCAAATATTTGAAGATTTATTATAATTGCTTCATTATTAGTTGATCAATAAAGTTTTATTTTTTGTGAAACTAATAAATGGAAATATTTTTTTTTTTGCATTAATAAATTTTCTGTGGAATGTACAAAAAGTTTCTTTAATTAAAAAAATCCAAAATAAGCTCAATTATGATGTAATTAAGAAATTATAGATTTATCTATTGGAAATTAAACAAATTTTGTTTGATTAATAAGCTAGTATTAAAATAAAAATTAAAAGAACATTTTAATATTTATGGTTTATGCATAAACTAATTGTATTGGTCATGTAGTATTAAACAATTTTGACAAAATTTCAAATATTGATCTAATGGAAATAATTAAATTGATTAGTTATTAACTAGCTGCAACTGACAGGATTAATAAGTTAAATTAATACAATAATAAAATTTCTGATCTATATTTCATATTTGAGTATATTAGATATTGCATGGGTTTTTATTTATTTACAATTTGAATTATAATGTAGATAAAAAGATAAAAATTGATTATATTATAATTTACAATATTGAAATAATACAAAATTCATTATATTATTATTGAATACAATTATATTTAAATAAATATTTTGAAAGATTTCTTTATATACAATATTTTTGGTATATCAGATATTATGAGTATCTTGATGCGCTGATATAAAGTAACTCTTGATAAAGTGATATGCAGCTGTCCATAAGTGAAAATAAGTTGTGGTAGGTAAACACCATATTGGATTAATGTTTGACCTTATGATTTATTTATTGTCATTGAAAAGGCAACATGAATTGGAAATTGCAGCTGTTCAGTAAGTTATTATCTAAGGGACTTAGTGTAATTTGAGGTATAAAAACATGTTTACCAATTAGGGATGGGGTCAGTTCGATTACATAATTTTGAGCAGTTTTGGAACCAATCAAAATCTCGTGGATTTCGAACTTATATGAGCCAAAAATCTTATTGGGAATAGAGAAGCACTAATATTTTTACAATAAATAAAAAAAAAAAATTTATAAGTCAAAAACAATTTTTAATAGCTTTTAAAAATTGAACTGAACCGGTTCTGAACTAGTTCTAAAAACTGGTTCAAAATATGATCAATATCAAAATTATGATGATCATGAACCAACTATTGATTGTTAACCAATCAAAATTTTTTTAATTCATAATCAACATATGTTCAACTTGTATCTTTAATTTGACACATGTAGCTCATATTTTTCTTAATGGGAACCAATGTGGAACCGACGGCAAACCGAAATGGAACCGAACAAACCGTCCCCATCCCTATTACAAATATGAACTCCTGTAATAATTTCTGCATCAATTACTTTACTTTGACTGTCATGAACAATTAATCTGATACAATTACAGAGCCCTTCTGCTAGATTGTCATCAGGTTGGATGTATATGTCACTATGCTCTGCCCACCTTGGCCACAGGTCTTGCAGTACCTACATCACCCCACCCCTATGGGGCCTGTCAACTACCCACATATCTGTCCCTATCCGTCTCTACCATCTGTCCTATAAATATATAACTAAAAAACCAGAAAACAAAGGAAAAGAAAGCAAAAAAGGAGAGAATAAGAGGGGAGGGACAGATAGATGGAACAAATGGGACAGATATTTCAGAAGTATAGGAAAGAGACATTCCCCAAAAAACTTTTATTTTTACCCCAGGTCTGTCCTATCGGTCCTGTCTGTCCCAAAAAATTCTGTCCCACATTACTCAGCAGGTAGGTTGCATTATTACATTTGTTACTGACTCATTATCAGGCATACACTACTAGCTATAATGCTAGTAATAAAAAATGTGTAAGAACTAATATTATACGAATATATGTCAAATTTCTGAAATCCACCTGCATTGTTAGAATCTTTTTTACTGAAACCTATCAATTTTGAAAAATATGGTAGAAACATTTTTAAAATATGATCACCATATTGCATACGTATTTCTGTTAACTCCGTTGTAACTCGATAACAGCAATATGTTAAGTATATGTCAAAAATACAAAATAAAAATATGTCTAGAATATGTTAAACATCAATCAAAAATATAATGAAAATATGTAATAGGAATGTTTTTATTATATATCAAAAATATGTTAGAAATATGTAATAGGGATGTTTTCATTATATATCAAAATTCAAAAATATGTCGGAAATATAATAAATCAATTTATTAAAATAATCAAAAATTTATTTACATATATACAATATATAGCGCAAATGTTTCTCTCATCTATCAAAAAATTTAAAATACCATATAATTCTTAATAATATTATTATCATATCAATACCACATTATCCCTTAAACTGTAGGGGTTAAAATTAATTTTAAAAATTTTTGAATTTTTTAAAATATCTTAAGATCTAGTGATCATAGAAAGATGAAATTATATTTGTTGATTCCTCTTATTAAGGCGCATTTAATGGTAATAAAATCATAACTCTAAAATTGATAAATAAAAAGTTATATTAATTTATAAATTTTTAGATTTTATAAGTTATCCTATCACATAATATTTGTAGAAGAACAATTTTATTTCTATCAGATTCCTGTCTCTTATACACATCTAGATGTGTATAAGAGACAGGATCTAGTGATCATAGAAAGATGAAATTATATTTGTTGATTCCTCTTATTAAGGCGCATTTAATGGTAATAAAATCATAACTCTAAAATTGATAAATAAAAAGTTATATTAATTTATAAATTTTTAGATTTTATAAGTTATCCTATCACATAATATTTGTAGAAGAACAATTTTATTTCTATCAGATTCTTTTCATTAAAACGCATTAATGGTGGTAATTTTACATTTCTAGGGTAAATGGATAAAAAGATATTTCAATTTAAAAAATTTAGCTACTATTTGTTATAATTTGTCGATCATTTACTTTTAAAAAATCATTAATCAAATTGAACTTTTTTTTTGATTTTTACTTAGAAAATACTATAAAATTTATTACAAAAATATTGGTTTATGTAATAAAATATTTTAAGATATTTAAGTGTCTTTAATTAAAAAACAAAATTGCAGGCAAATTTGGCTGCAAAACAGTTTAAGGGATAATAAAATATAACATCAATTTATGCATTCCTACAATTGTGTATGAAAAATAAACATGGAATGTAATCAACAAACCACCGTAGTAATTCTTTAGATTTCTGTAAAATAAAAATAAAATAAAATATTATTAATAAAAAAATCGCTAAATAAATTAAAGTTTCTAAAATCAAAACTTACTATCCAATCCACCAAAGAACCAGAAATCCATTTCCTATAAAAAAGAGAGGAAAAGTATATTAATATTTCCTTTAAAAAATTTAATTTTGAAATAATTTAATTTCAAAATTTCGAAACTCATCATCCAATCCATTCATAAATCGGAAATTCATCCTATAAATAAAGAAAAAAACGTTAATCAAAATTTTTTATCATTTTAAAATTTTTTTCCCAAAAACTTACCTTCAACCTACTAATTTTCACAACCTGAACAACACAAAAACCAGTTATCATACTGAAAATCCTGATAATTAAGTCAAAGGAAAACTACAAAATAAAAGAAGATATTATATTACTGTAATTAAACATCTTTTCACAAGGGTTCTGAAGACAGGCGTAGGAGTCCTAAAAAAGAAATAAAAAAAGTTAATAAAAACTTTTTTTAATTAATTTTCAAAAATATTTTTTCGATACTCACTTAGGAATCTGGTGTCTACATCAGAGTTGATTTTCCTACAAATATTAAACAAAAATAACTTTAAAAAAACTACTTTTTAAGCTCCAGATTCTTTTTTAGAAACTTATCTGGGATTTGGTTTCTAATTCAAAGCTGATTTCCTACAAAAATGAAAAAAAAGTTAAAAAACTTTTTTTTAAAAGTTTCAAATTTCTGTCTTCCAAAACTTACCTATCCTACACGTCCAGACTTGACTAAAAATATGAAAAACTAAGGCTGATTTCTCACTGAGATCCTATGTGTTCAGGCTGTCTAAAAAAAAGAAAAAAAAAAAAGAAATTAAGAATCATTTTTAGACGAAATAAAGAAATTTTTAAAAAAAGTAATATACTCACCAAAATCCCATGAAAATTCTAAGAACCGAAAGCCGAAATCTACAAAATAGAAAAAAGAAAAAATTAAAAAAAATT